CCAGAGATGATGACGTGGAGCGATGGAGCAGCTGGAGACTTTAGATCCAGAGAGGGAGAGCGACTGTGTGCTGAAGACCTGGGGGGTACGGGGGAAGGATTACATGGAGGGAATTGTAACCATGGCAATGAGACAATATACAACAGAATGAATGTAAAACTAATGTTCTACCATGTAAACTATCACATAATTCACATAAAACATTTAAGGGGAAAAAAAAAAGCACATGAAATTTGGACAGTGAATAAGGAAGACAGTAGAAGAACTGATGCATTCAAATTCTGGTATTGGAAAAAAATACTGAAAGTACCATGGACTACCAAAAGAACAAACAGATCTGTATCGGAAGAAGTACAACCAGAATACTCCTTAGAAGCCAGGATGGAAAGACTTCGTCTTTGATAATTCAACGTATCATCAGGAGGGACCAGTCCCTGGAGAATGACAACATACTAGGTAAAGAGGAGGGTCAGCAAAAAAAAGATACCCAATGAGATGGAATGGTACAGTGGCAGCGTAACAATGATTGTGAAGATGTAGTAGAACTGGACAAGTGTTTGGTTCTGTTGAGTCAAAACCAACTCAACAGCACCTAACAACCACAATAATGTGGGCAAAGAACTGAGTAACATCCAAAGAAGATGGAAAAATCTATACCAAAAAGAACTGGTCAATGTTCAGCTATTTCAGAAGACATGACCAAAACCCAATGGTGTTATGGAGGGAATGAGATGCACTGAAGGCACTGGAGAAAAACAAGGTTCCAGGAACTGACAGAACACCCATTGAAATGCTTCAACGATCTGACGCAACACTGGAGGTGCTCATTTGTCTATTCCAAGTAATTTGGAAGATAGTTACTTGGTGAACTGACTGAAACAGATGCATATTTGTGCCCACACTAAAGAAACGTGATACAACAGAATGTGGAAATTATCAACTATTATCATTACTATCACACATAAGCAAAATTTTAATGAAGATAATTCAAATATGGTTGCAGCAATACAAAGACAGGGAGCTTCCAGAAACTCAAGCCAGATTCAGAAGAGGATGTGAACAAAGGATATCATTGCTCACGTCAAATCGATCTTGGCTAAAAGCAGAGAATACCAGAGAGATGTTTACCTATACTTTATAGGCCATACAAAAGTATTTCACTGTGTAGATCATAGAGAATTATACACAGCACTGCAAGGAATGGGAATTCTGGGACATGTAATTATGCTTATGGGAAACCTGTAACAGAATAAGAGGCAGTCATTTGAACAGAACAAGGGAAACTGTGATTTTAAATTAGGAAAGGTATGTCAGGGTTGTGACTTTTCACCATATTTAGTCAACCTGTAAACGGAGCAAAAAAATCAGAGAAATTAGACTATATGAAGACAAATACAGCATCAAGAATGGAGGAAGACTCACTAATATAACCCACAATATGCAGCTAAAACAACCTTGCTTGCTGAAAACTAAAAGATTTCAAGCATTTACTAAAGAAGACTAAAGACTACAGGTCTTCAGTATGGATTACACCTCAAAATATAGAACTAAAATCTTTACAAGTAGACCTATAAGCAACACCATAATAAATGAAAAAAAGACTGAAGTTTTCCAGGATTTCATTTTATTTGGATCTACAAGCAAGGCCCATGAATGCAGCAGTCAAGAAATCAAGTGACATATTACACAGGGCAAACTTACTGCAAAAGTTCTCTTTAAAAATGTAAAAAGAGAACAAACAAGATGGTGAAAAGGATGGAAGTGCAGTGAGGAGCTCCATCAGCAACAAAATACGGGACCAAGCAGGCTCAGGGGATGGAACTCTGAACCACATATAAAGGAATATTTAAAAGCTTGGAAGCCTTACATCTAGGGGAATTTGTAGCAGAAGCAAGAAATCCATTGCTTTCTAATCCAAGATACTCAGCTGCTCCTGGAACTGCCAACTTGGGCGAGACCAAGCAGGGGAAGGATCACAGCAGCCACAGACACCGGACAAAAATGCAGAGATAAAAGTGTGGAGATTCTTTTTTTTTTTTTGGTATCTCTTCATTGGTCTCGTACTGTCGGCGCACCTCCATTCTGGTAACTAGAGAGGGGGTGCCTGAGCAAG